ACATAGGAAAGAGGTTTCCATCTTGGATGGTGAATGATGTCAATAGTTCTGGTTCTTCATTCCTTCTTGACAACATGGTGGAGTTGGAGTTAATTAATTGCTATGAGTGCACGTGTATTCCGAGTTTGGGACTATTGCCCAGTCTCAAGGTTCTTTACATTGTTAGAATGGAAAATGTTAGAAGAATGGGTCATGAGCTTCAGCTCGATGGAGCAGAATCGATCAGATTGTTCCCAGCTTTGAAAACACTCATCGTGCGTGGCATGAAAAGGCTAGAGGAATGGGTTGAAGTTGTTGAGGATGTAGCTGCAGGGAGCCAAGGTGTGATCGTGTTTCCTAGTCTTAAGAAGTTGTTGATTTTTGATTGTCCTTTGTTGAAGACTTGGTCGACGGGTGGATTTTCTTCTCATCACAAGCTGTCCGAGCTGTGGATAGAACAATGTTCAAATCTGATGGCTATCCCTGGTTTAGATGGGCTCTCAGCTCTTAAAAAATTCCAGCTCCGAAGCTGTAATGGATTAACAAGTCTACCAATTGGGCTTGGATCCTGTATCTGTCTTCAGTCCTTGGAAATTAAGGGCTGTCATGGATTAACAAGTCTACCATCCTGCATCTCTCTTTGGTTATTGCAAATTGAAGACTGTCCAAATCTGAACTCTATTCCCAGTATAAATGGGCTCACCTCTCTTAAAAGACTCAACCTTTTTGGTTGCCATGGATTAACGTGTCTTCCAATTGGGCTGGACTCTTGCAATTCTCCTCCGCAATTGACAATTATACGTTGCTCTAATTTAATTTCCATTTTTGACTACAACGGGATATTGCGTTCTATCAATGTTCTTACAATCATAAATTGTGAAAATCTAAGGAGGATTCAAACTGGACTGGGATGTTGCAGTTCTCTTCAGAAGTTGGAAATTAAAGATTGTCCTAATTTAATTTCCATTGCAGAAGATATCGGGAAATTGCATTCTCTCAGTAGTATTCATACTGGACTGGGATATTCCATTTCTCTTCAGAAGTTGGAAATTGAATTTTGCCCTAATTTAATTTCCATTCCTGACGGTATCGAGAAATTGTGTTCTCTCAGTGTTCTTAGAATCGCAGATTGTGAAAATATAAGGAGC